ATCCACTCACCTCAGCCTCCCAAGGCGCGGGATTACAGGCTGAGCCACCGAGCCTGGGTGTCATTCACTATTTCATCAGAGGAGCGGTTTTCAAGCAGGAGTGACCTTTCCCCAGGGAGCATTGGGCAACATCTGAAGACGTTTGGGGTTGGCACGACCGGGAGAGGCCAGGCTACTGGCACCTAGAGAGTAGAGCGCAAGGACATTGCAAACAGTCCATAATATGCAGGACAGTGCCCAACTACAAGGATCATCCTGCCTAAATGCCAACAGGGCTGGGCTGAGAACACCTGCCCCTACCAGCTCCAGATGCCAGGCCAGGGCCGACCTGTTAATTTGGGTGACGTATTGCTTCATCTCCTTCAGGGCCACGTCCAGCTTGGTAAAGAGCTGCAGGTAGGTGTCCTGGATCTCATGGTCCTCCTGCTTGAGTAGGAAGCTCAGGCCCCAGTCTTCCTAGCTCAGCACCCCCCCCCACCCGCTGGCCCCATGGTGGTGATACAGTGCTGGGTACAGGACATGAGAAAGGGAGAGCTCATTCAGAAACAGCCCCTGATACCCACGCGCCCTTGGGCCCAGCCACACAAACATGGATGCCAGTGCATAAGAAAAGCCTCCCTCTAACTATTCCTAATCTGCTAAGTTACTTCAAGAAGAAAGTCTTGGTCTGGGGCCAACAGGCTTTGAATGACTGAGGTCCTGTTCCTGTCTGGAATGCAGTCATGATGGCTGGTGCCCCTGCAGGCACATCTGCCATGAGGCCTCCAGAAGACCAGAAGCCACATCTACAGACTGTGGTGCAAAGGACAGGACCCTGGACCACTCCTGCCCTGAACTGCTGACCTCAGACATCCTACTGTTGGAGCATCAGGAGTGCAGGGCCTGAGCACAGTTCCTAAGAGACACACACAGGTACTTTGCATCGAGGTCAATGAGGGAGGGCTTGAGGCCAAAGCAGATGCTGAAGGACCTGCCTACTGAGGGAGTGGCCTTGGGGTGGGACACTTCTATGAGGCTGATGTGGCAGTTGGTGGGGCAGACGTCCAGGCCAGACAGTGTGTGGGGCTCCAAGGTTGAAGGGCAGGCTGACTCTGCTCTTCAGCTGGGCTGCAAACTGAAAAAATGGAGGGTGCAGGGTCAGGGGTCAGCAGAGGGTGCAGGGTCAGGAGTCAGGGATCAGCAGAGGACACGGGGTCAGGAGTCGGGGTCAGGGGAGAATATGGGGTTATGACTTTGGAGTCAGCGGAGGATGTGGGGTCATGAGTGGAGGGGTCAGCAGAGGGCATAGGGTCATGAGTTGGGGCTAATAGAGAATGGGGGTCATGGGTCAGGGGTCTGCAGAAGGCATAGAGTCATGAGTCCAGGAGTCAGTGTAGGACACGGGTATAAGTCAGGAGTCAGTGGAGCATGTGGGGTCATAAATTGGGGGGTTTAGGGGAAGACATGGGGTCATGAGTCGGGGTCAGCTGAGCATATGCAGTCATAAGTGGGAGGACAGTGGAGGGCATAGGGTCATGTGTCCAGGTTCAGCAGAGAATGTGGAGTCATGAGTCGGGGTCAGCAGAGGGCATGGGGTCATGAGCCAGGGCTAGCAGAAGGCATGTGGTCATGAGTCAGGGGTCAGCAGAGGACATGGAGCCATGAGTTGGTGGTCAGCGAAGGGCATGGGGTAATTAGTTGGGGTCAGCAGAGGGCATGGGGTCATGAGTTGGGGTCAGTGGTGGGTGCAGAGTCATGAGTTGGGGTCAGTGGTGGGTGCAGGGTCATGGGTTGGGGTCAGTGGAGGGCACAAGATCATGAGTTGGGGGCAGTGGTGGGTGCAGGGTCATAGGTTGGGGTCAGTGGAGGGCACGGGGTCATGAGTTGGGGACAGTGGAAGGCATAGAGTCATGAGTTGCGGTCAGTGGAGGGCACAGGGTCATGAGTTGGGGTCAGCAGAGGGCACGGGGTCATTAGTTGGGGTCAATGGAGGGCACAGGGTCATGAGCTGGGTTAAGTGGAGGGTGTAGGGTCAGGAGTTGGGGCCAGTGAAGAATGTGGGGGTCACAAGTCAGGGATCAGCAGAGGGCATGGAGTCATGAGTCGGGGTATGAGTCAGGGGTCAGTGGGGCATGTGAGGGCATGAGTTGGGGCTCAGGGAGGAAAAGGGGTCATGAGTCAGGGTCAGCAGAGGGCACAGGTGTTGGGAGCCAGCCTTGGAGGCCCACCTGATTGACAGGGTCCAGGTGGGCCGAAGACCCCGGGCCGCAGGGCGAGCCCAGGAAGCTGAGGCCCTTCTGTCTTTCACCTTTGTTGTTTGATACCGCTGAAGAATTCTGTGCAGTCGTGGAAGAAGAAAATGGCATGTTTATGTGAAGTACTCACAGCTAACCTGGAAATATCATGGTTTATTTTTCCATTTTTCCCACTATGCCACTTGGCCTTTTCTAACATATGCAAGGGTTAAACTCTGAAACACATCAAGAATGCTTTCTTTCACTTGGTTATAAGTTACTAGATATTGCTTAAGTGATAAATGATATAAGTATATCCACTCATTTAATTTAGAATTATGTAGTTTAGTGTTTAGACATAAGGATTTTTACAAGCACAAGTTTATAGTAAGTTCATTATGAATTCATTATAAGTTCTAACACTTATGTCGGAGTTGGTAGGTGATTTATAACACTGTTTTCACTAACTTAGGACAAAGATTATGTTAAGGTTT